AGAAAATATCGATTTTGATTCACGCATGGATTTCGTAGTCATCGGATTCACGCCTTTAAATTTTCGGAAATCCTTTTTTTTTTTTAAAATAATAATAAATCAAAGAATGAAATATTCAAATCGATTTCGCGGTTTTTTTTCTGTGTGTATGTAATGAAGTGTGCGTGAGTGTAAAACCCCCAGACCCCCAAAAAAAAAAATAAATTAATAAATAAATAAATAAAAATCAATAATAAGAAACAGAAAAAAATTTTTTTTTTTTTTTTTTTAAATAACCAAAAAAAAACGCACGAAGAAAATCGTCATCCTGATCGTCCGCCATTTTTAATTTTTTTTTTTTTTTTTTTAGGGGATAATTAAGAATTTTAACTAATTACAAATAAATTTAAATGCGTCATTAATTGATTTAACGCCGTCGGATCGATCTTAGCCTAAATTTTGTAACGTTTTATTTGTAACGCGGCATAATTTTACGCTTCGATTACTTTTTTATTCCCTTGTACGTGTTATCAAAACATGGGAGGATTGGGGGGAGGGGGTAGGCGGATAACGCCGCCAACAACAAAAAATCGATAATTAAAAATCTCCCCCCCCCGGAATCGATTTTGGTATTTGAAATAGTTTTACAAATGCTTGGAGATAAAAAAAAAAAAAAAAAAAATTTATTTTTATAAATCTTGGAAAAATTATGTAAAGGAAAAACAAATGACGAGCGAAAGAGAGAGAGAGAGAGAGGATATGAATGAATAATAATAATAATAATAATAATAATAATAATAAATTGTGGGTTTTAAAAAAAAGGCCCCGAGGTGAGAGAGAACACGAATGCAATGTCGGCGGTCCGCCGGGCCAATAATGGCCCTCATTAGTCTCTCTCTTTCTCATATTTTGTTAAAAATATAGTAGAGAGAGAGAGAGAGACAGAGAAAGAGTCATTATGTTTGAGTGGAAGAGCTGTCAATGAATACAAAATGATCGATATTTAATGAATCAATCAAATTATATAAAAAAATGAACTTTGATTTCATCTCTCATCACCGCCTTTTTCCACATTTTATCCTCTCTCTCTCTCTCTCTCACTACCTCTCTCTCTTTTTTTCCCCGGAGGAAAATTTATTACCACTACTACTGCTACTCCACACATTAATTTTAAATAAAATCAACAACGGCTCAAATTCTAATGACACGTACTTTTTTTTTCCACCGAGTATCTATCGATTTTGACGGGTATTTAAACAAAAAATACGATTGATTACGTAATTACAGGGTGTATAAAAAAAAAAAATTTTTTTTTCACAAACGATTAATTATTTGTTTAAAAAAATAAACTCGTTTGTCAAAATAAAATTTATTAACTGTTATAAATCCGTGATCGTTTAACACTTTACATCTCGAATCGAACTCGAACTCGAATTTTATTTATAATTAACGAACATAAATTTTATTTGTTTTTTTTTTATAATAAACAAACAACACGAAAAGGCGTTTTCAAAATTTAAACCAAAAAAAAAAAAAAAAAAAAATTAATAAATGAAAACCCCCCGACATTTTTAATTTTATTTAAAACAAAAATAAACATTTGCAATTTATTGTCATTATTATTATCATTATTATTATTATTATTATTATTATTATTATTATTATTATTAAAAAACGTCACGGTTTACAAAAGGAAAAAGAAATTTTTACGTTTTTTATAATATTAAATCCTCATAAGTTTGTTAATTTTATAACCGATTTTTATTCGTTTTTTTTTAAATTTGTGAAGTAACGAATAACGGTTTTTTTTTTTTGGAAATTTTTTCTTCTGCTATAATATTATAATAAACCCAACATTTTAAATATATATATATATATATATGTAAAAACTAGTAAGTTAAAAATCAAAAACAAAAAAAATTGGTTTGATTTGTAAACTTACCAATTTTTTTTTTGTCTGCTACCACGTTCGCTATTATTGATCTCTCTCTTTTTTTTTTTAATTTTAACGTTATCGAAACAAAACGTTCAATATGTTTTTTGTTTTTTTTTTGCACTTTTAAAAAATAGAACGACGTGGCGTCCGTCACAACATTTCAAAAACAATAAAAATAATAATAATAATAATAATGGAATTAAAAATTAATACGTGCCAATTTAAAAAAAAAAAAAAGAAAAAAGTGACATTAACACAATTCGCACGTTTTTCAATTTTCGCGACGCGCGTTTTTAACGAATCGGAAAATTTATTATCATCATCATCACCATCATCATCATTATTATCATAGGTTTTATGCATTAACCTTCGGTGATTTTCTCGCGGTAAAAAAATTTTACATAGAACAAAAAAACTAAAGTTGTCGCGCAAGTATTTTATTTTATTTGTTTATTTTATTATTATTATTATTTGATAAACGAATTATAACTGTCAATTTTTTTTTTTGTTAGTTTGTTCTTCTTTTTCTTCTTCTTCTACTTCCCATCTTTTATTTACCAGACACCAGCTGCTCTCTCTCTCTCTCTCTCTTTCTATCTCCCGCAAAACATTAAACATTTTAATTTTTCCCTTTTTTCCGAAGGGGTTCAAAAAATAAAATTCAATTAAATATTCAACGAACGGATTATTATTAGTTCTCTTATTAAGTTCCGACGTGTAGGAAAAAAAAATTTTTTTTTCCTCCTTTCCCATTATTATTATTATTATTATTATTATTATTATTATTATTATTATTATTATTATTATTATCAACGCGACTACGTTAAATTTTTCATCGAGGAAAAAATAATAAAATAAAATAAAACTAAATGAATTTTTTTTTTTTGTATTGTTTAAATGTCGAGACTGACTGAAATGGTGACTGACGTCACACACACACATCGTCTGCATTATTTTTCTTCTGCTTACTCCTGCCACGACGACCGTTTTATTTTGATTTAATTCGTGATATTCAAAAAAATTAAATTCATCACGATGACATTTATTTTAAAAACGACGACGATGATGATGATGTTAAAATTTTTTATTTTTTTTTATTACGTCCAATTATGAAAATGAGCCCTTCAACAACAACAACAACAACAACAACAACAATAATAATAATAATGATAATAATAATAATAAATTGAATTGATTGAAGGTGGTGGTGGTGGTACTCTTACTACTGCTACCATCTCTTGCTACTACCTGCTACGAATAATAATAATAATAATAATAATCAAACCTCGAGAAAAAAAAAATGATATCTATATATATCTCAAATAAAAAAAATAAAAAAAACAAATCGTGATCTTAGAAAAAAAGAAGCAGAAGAAAAAAAAAAAAAAAGTAACCGGGCAAAATCGTTTTTTATTATTTTTTTTCTCACTTTAAGTTCTACAAACTTAACAAAAAAAAAATCACGTTTTCCCTACCTGAATTAAATCATTAGTTTTTTTTTTAAAATCGACCATATTTTTTTTTTTTTTTACATTCGTTTTCTTTCGAGTTATCGATGATGATGATGATGATGATGATGATGATGATGATGATGATGATGATGATGATGATGATGATGATGATAATGATGATGGAGTCACGTTTTTATTTTTTACAAATTTTTCTCATAGCAAATTTTTTTTTTTTTTTACTGCTACAGTTTAGCATGTATATTAATTACACCCCTCCTTCCTCCCCACACCTTCCGGTTATTTTTTTAAAATAGTACTTAAAATTAATCAAACGTGGCAGAAGACAAATTTGTAAAAAAAAGTTTTCTTTTTTTTTCCGGAATCATTTCACGACGGATTACGTAAAAATAAAATAAAAATTCGTCCATCTCGCAATGAGGTCGATTTTAAAATATAAATAAAAATCGATTAATAATTATTATTATTATTAAGTTATTAAATCGATAATTATCGATCAATAGAGTTCAATAATTAAAATATTTCGCTTCGAATCTGGTTCGTTCGTTCGTTCGCGCGCGCAAAAAAAAAAAAAAGAAAAAGATTTTGAAATCGCGACGGTATTATTTGCGTTTTGCTATCGTATAAATTTTTTTTAAATAAAATCGATAATCGATATATTATTAATTCGATTATTATTTTTAAAAATCGATAATAAAATATTAATAATAATAATAATAATTTAAAATCGACAATTTGTTTGTTATATTTTTTCCCCCCGATTCATTCGAAAAAAAAAATTTTTTCGTTTATTTAATATTTAAAAAACCCGTCGCGAAAATCAGGTTTGCCAACATTAATAATTTTTTTAATAATCAATTTAAATTTTTAACAATTAAACATCGTTTGGAGGAAGAATTTTGAGTTTTGCTGTCGTTAATTCGTTACGTCATTATTTTTGCAATTATCGCGAAAAATATATTTTAAAAAATATTTCTGTGTCACACACAATCCATCATGGCGAATATATTTTCATTTTATTATTATTATTATTATTCTATCATCTATCTATTTTTCTTTTATTTTTTTTTTTTTTTTTTTGCCAAAAATAAAAATGTCAGTATTATTATTATTATTATTATTGACGTTTCAATTACTTTTGATTTTTTGGCGCAATAACGAACGCAAATGGAATCAATATTTAAAATAAATTGACGGCAAATTTTTTTAATAATTTTTGCGCTCCGAAATAAAATACAATAATAAAATGATGATGATTTTTTTTTTTTTCGAAAAGTTTAATTAACGTTAATAAATGATAAAATTTATTATTATTATTATTATTATCTTTTTTCGTACGCGGTTATTATGTAATTTTTTTTTTTTTTAAGGGGGGAAGAGGACTCGAAACATAACGAAAGGGGATACGAAGCCAAATTATTTAATCATTTGCTAACGTTTATAAAAAATTTTTTTTTTTTTTAATGCAAAACAAATTTTTCCCATATGTTTGTTTTTCGATGATGACGTCAACAAATTTAATTTTATTTATTTAAATAAATTATTTATAAAAATTCAATTCGGATAAATTTTTAAATTAAAAAAAAAAAAAGTTTGATTTTCAATTAAAAATTTTTCTACCTGATTATATGTATATAAGGTTCAGTAAAAATCAATTTGACGTGGGAATAGAAAATAAAAAAGTTATTGCGTCGTTAGAATAATGTTATGATAAAAAAAAAATATTTTAGGTACTCACCGATTTTTGGCAGCAGCAGCTCTATCCCTTTGCCGTCGGTTTTTGAACCAATTTCCGACTTGCGTCGGAGTAAGTCCCGTGGCTTGTGCCAGTTCCCTTTTTTTGGTAGGATTCGGATATGGATCTTGTAGGTACCACTCCCTAAGCAAAGATCTCGTCCTTTCTTTAAAACAATGAGTTTTTTGTTCTCCGTCCCAGATAGTTCTGGGTAGCGGAAACTTTTTTCTCACTCTGTATTTATCAACTGGTCCTAAGGGTCTTCCCCGTAATTTTTCAGCTTCCTGATAGTGAGCTTCGAGCCACATGGCTTGTAATTTCCCATGGGAATCCTTACCGAATTTGTGGTGTTCGAGAATCGAATACATTTCTCGATAGTGACCACTGTGAAATGAAACGATAGCACGCGCACGGAGAACGGCTTCATTTTTGTTCAATTCGGATATATTCGGATGAGCGACGGGCAAAGACCACAGAAATCTAGCGAGTCGTTCTATGTCACCACTTTCTTCTAGGGTTTCACAAACGGCCGCGACCTGAGACACGGTGAAATTAAGCGTTGGTAACGCAAATAGAGGACTAGGGATGATCGGCGGCACCGGCACCGGAGCGGCGGCAGCGGCGGCGTCCGGCCTGCCGGCCATGGCAGAGGCCACAGCCGCCACTTCACTGTTTTGGTATATCACTGTCTTTCACACCTGAAATAATCACTGCGATACGAGCATCCGACACCCGATCATTGCGGTATCCGTAACAAGACTTGAGTTTAGCTAGTGACTCTACACCGGAGCAAACCCACGCTCCTCCTTGATTAGTTTCGTTACCCCGGCAACGTATTTATTACCATGACGTCGACCAATGAAAAATCACGAAACGATATTTGCCCGGGGATGAGTTTCATTCGTGTTTCAATTTAAATCGGGGAAATTTTTAAGAGCGGGGGGAAAAAATTTTTTTTTTTTTTTTTTTTTAAAAAGAACCGCCCTGACTCCTCTCCTTCATTTTCACATAAACAATCTCAGCTTGTTTAAGTTGGTTTCGTGTCGAAAGTTTTTTTATGCTTTTACGTCTTTAAAACTAAAGCAAACTTTGTATTTTTTTTTTTTTATAACAAAATTTTTAAAACTTTATTTTAACAATAATTGTTTTTTCATTATTATTATTATTATTATTATTATTATTACGAAAATAAAATCGTTAAGAATTTTTTCTTAATAATTATTTAACGTTTACAACAACATAAAATTTCACATTTTCAACGAACATTTTTTTTTTTTTTTTGTATATTTAAAAACCAAAGGCTATTTAATATATTTATTACTAAAATTTATAACTAAAAATTTTTAGTGTGACAATTTTGCCTTTAGGGGGGCAGGTACGTAACCGTTAATAAAAATTTCAAAAAAAAAATTATTAAATAAATAAATAAATTTTCAAAAAATAATTTTTCGTGCGTTTTCTTTTACATTTTTCCTCTCCTTTTGACGACTAAAATCGTTTTTAGTTTTAATAAATTTTATGTAAAAACTAATAATAAAACTATTTTTTATTTTACGCAACACATAAATTCGCGTTCACATAATTTTTTTTTTAAAAAATATTTTCGCGCCACTAAAAAAAAAATAAATTTTTTTTTTTTAATATTGATTTTCTTACGAGCGTAAACTTTTCGTATGCAAAACAAAAAAAAAAAAAAACCGACGCATTAAAAATTTATTTCGGTTAACGGGTTAAAAGGTCAAAAAAAGTCATAAATTTCCCTTCACACGCACTCACCCCACCTCCCTTACAAATTTGCAAATTTTTTTAAAAATAAATCTGAGAAAATTTTAACGTTTTATAAAAACTCAAAAGATTTATAAAAAAAAAAAAAAAAGAGAAAAGGGTGGAGCAAGAATATTTTTTAAAAGGAAAAATCTCTCTCTATCTCTCTCTCTCTCCCATTTTTACACACAAATCATTAAATAAATCTTGAAAACAACAACAACAACAACCACAATCACAATCACAACAACAATCGCAACAAAATTTTAAACGTATATTATTCGAAAGGATTTAAATTTTTTTTTTTTTTTACGTAGGCGAAATTTTTTGAAAGGTTTAACATATAAAAACAATTCCTAAATTTTTTTTTCTTTTATCCTGTCAGTCTTTTTGCAAGAAATTTATCTTTAAAATCAAATATTCGTTGGGAACACCAACAACAAAACTATCATCATCATCATCATCATCATTATCACTTAAATCTTTTTTTTTTTAACGTGGAAACCGAGGGAAAAATATAAATAAAAATGATAGACAATTCGTTTAGTAACAACCACCATTTCAATAAAATTCGACAAAAAAAAAAAAAACGTCTGCTTCAGGTTGTCAAAAGTGGAGTGGAGTGGAAGGGGAGTGGGAGGGCAGGGGAGGAGGAAGAAGAAGCTACCGTTTGGGAAAGAAAGGGAGTAAATAATTTAAAACAAAAAAATTAATTATCTAAGGCACGATATAAAAAAAAAAAAAAAAAAAAACCTGCCACTCTTGTTTGGCAGTTTATTTTAGTATTTAAGTGATTTTAATGGGTGTCATAATTTTACTCGTTAGATATTTGACAGGAGTTGAAATATCCTAACAGAAAAAAAAAAAAAAAAAAAAAAATCTTATGTTAATTTTTTTATATCGTTTATTATTATTATTATTATTATTATTAGTATTTTCGATCCCGTCTAGACCCTTGTTAAACGCCCCGATGATAGTGCTAAATAGGTAGTATATTCTACTACTATCAGACTTTAGTTTTTTTTTTTTTTTTTTTTTTTTTGATAACTAGTTAACATTATATAAAATTTTTGATTGAAATAATAATAATAATAATAATAATAATAATAATAATATTAGTTGTATTTATACGTATTAGTAATTAATAATAACTGTTTAATATTCAATTTAAAGGGAAAAAAAAAGAAAAGATTTTCACATAAATATAGGAACGAATCATTTAGACTAAACTAAAAATGATAATGGAGTATAATGGAAATAACATTATGGGTTGTGTGCGGTGTAGATGAAATCGGATTAAATGAATGATTGACAAAGAGACGTGGCCATAATCTCTAAAATGGGTTGTTGTTGTTGGGGTGCCCTTGAATCTCCCCCCTTTTTTTAGATTCTTCTTCAAATAAGCTTTTTTTTTTTTTTTTTTTTTCACTTATTATTACGTTTAGCTTATTGATATTTTATATTTTTTCCGGGGGTAAAACATGGAAAACGTACGTACGTACGTGTGTGTGTGAGAGAGAGAGAGAATGATGTGAATTTGTTTTTACCTCTTGGTAAATGTGTCAAAATATATTCTTCCCCCTAAAGGTTTTTGTTTTTAAAAAAAAAACAGCTGATTTTAAATCAGCTTATTTAAATGAGTAAAATTTAATAATTGATTGAACATCATTTGATTTTTGTAATTTTTTCTTTTTTTTTTTTTAATCACGCGATTATTTTTTTTGAATTTTTTTGTAACGTTCTAGAATTTTCTTTTTGGACGTTATTTAACAGGGTGATTAAAAATGAAGCAAGAAAAATTTGGTTTTAACGTACGAATTATTAAAGGAAACTTAAAAAAAAATTTTTTTTTTTTTTTTTTTTGTTTAATTATGATTGATTACGAAAACATTTAAACTAATTATTGAATTATACGATTTAATGCGTTCATTATGAAATTATTAATAAAAAAAAAAACAGTGTCGTATTAAGGATGAAAATAATAATAATAATAATAAGAAAATTTTCGATTAATTATCATTGTAAAAAAAAAAAAAATTTCCCACGGTTACAAAAAAAAATACGTGAAAATCTCTATCTATCTCTCTCTTTCTCTCTCTTTTTCTTATGCCACGAAAGTTCTACTTTTATAACAAACAACAACAACAACAATTTTTTTTTCTTTTTGTCAATTTTCATTTTGTAAAATTTTTTCAAACCTTTTTTTTTTTTTTTTTTTTTCAAATCGTTGTTTGTATTCATACGTCGAGGTTGTTACCCTTTTTCCTTCCTTCCTTTCTTTCTTTCTTTCTTTACATTTTCATTCATAACAAACGATTTTAGTTTTATATAATGAAAAAATTATTCGGTCAAAGAAAAGAAAAAAATAGAAATACAAACAAAATCAGGTTAATGACCTCGAAAAAATAAAATTTCTTATTAATCATCCATTAATTGTTGAAAATTGTATTGAGAAAAAATAATAATAATATTTAATTCACGACTGTTAACAAAAAAAAAAAAAAAAACGGTTAACCTAATAATAATAATAATAATAATTGGGAATTTTATTTTTTTTTTAAATGAAATTCGAGGGATAAAAGTTTTAATTTAAAAGACATTCATTAGTGTTAAATTAATGCATTTTGTAAAAAAAAAAAAAAAAAAAAAAAAACTCAATTAAAATCATCTTAAATTTAAAAAAAAAAAAAAAAAAAAAATTGGCCTGGACTTTGTGAACCTTGATCCTGTTTTGTCATTAATAATTTAATTATTATTATTATTATTATTATATAAGGAGTTTAACAACCTGAAATTTATTTATTTTTTTTTGTTTAAAACGTGTTAACGTAAAACGAAATGTAGCGAAAGGATTAAACGAATACGAGATATTAATGATAGATGATGTACTTGTTGGGTGGCATTAATACCATTACTAAAAAAAAATGGAGTTCGAGATTAAAATAAATCGTTTGACATTTTGGTATTTGGTATAAATGACACGACGAATAAAATATATTTCGAGATGCGAATCGAATCGAATCGAAAGTAACGAGAATTTTGGTGGGAGAAAAAAAAAACAAATTGAATTGCATTCGATAAACGGCTGTTGTTGTGGTTGTTGTTGTTGTTATCATTATTATTAATTAAGTCATACGAAACAAAAATAAAAATTGATATTAAAAATCGTACCTCGTAGAATTTTCTAAAATTCATTAATAATAATAATAATAATAACGAACGACGTTTTTAAGGATTTAATAACGTTTTAAAGTAAAAAAAAATTTAAATTTTCTTACCTTTTTCTTTATTTTCTTTCAATTTTCGAATTTTTCCCTTCTTTTTTCATCATCATTAACATTTTTCACAAAAAACCTAAAAAAAAAAAAAGAAAAAAAAAGAAAATTAATTCGTTACTTTTTTTTTTTTTTTTAAATTATAAGTCTCAAATTAAATTCGATGTTTTATAAAAAAAGAATCTTATATAATGTGATTCGTTTTTTTTTTAAAAAAAGATTTTCCTAAATTAAATACAACGTAAAAGAAAAAGAAAAAAAATCGAAGAAGTGAATTTATTATTATTATTATTATTATTTCTTTCCTCCTTTTTTTAATTTCATTCATTCATTCATTCATTCATTCTCTCTCTCAGTTTATTTCGTTCGTTTGAAAACAAAATGGCGTCGTTAATAGCGTAATTGTTTAGTCAACATAACGCGTGTGTGTGAGAAAGATTTTGAGTTTTTTACAAATAAAAATTATTTCCTTCAATTTGTTTTTTTTTTTTTTTTTTTTTTTACGAAACGAATTAATATTAAGTGTAAAACGTTTACCAACCTTAAAAAAAAAAAATAAAGTATGGATGAGCTCGAAATTATTTTTTATAAAGAAATTTTGTAAA